CGCATCATAGCACAGAAACTGCGCTAGTTAAAATTACAAATGATTTACTTTTAGCTTCTGACCAAGGCTGTATCTCAATATTAGTTCTACTCGATCTTAGTGCTGCGTTTGACACTATCGATCATAAAAAACTCTTGGATCGACTACAAATCTACACTGGTTTTCAGGGACAGGCATTAAGCTGGTTCAGATCGTATTTATCAGACCGTTACCATTTTGTTTGTTTAAATGGGGAAAAATCGAAGATAACGTCAGTAGACTATGGAGTGCCGCAAGGATCGGTGTTAGGCCCTCTGCTATTCTCAATATATATGCTGCCACTTGGTAATATTATAAGAAAACATGGAATTAATTTCCACTGTTATGCTGATGACACTTAATTATATATTTCATCACGGCCAGATGAAAACACTAACTCATCAAAATTGACAGTGTCTTAAAGATATAAAATGCTGGATGACGCATAATTTCCTGCTACTAAATCCAGATAAAACGGAGGTATTACTTGTTGGTCCAAAAAACTATCCACAAAACCACTTACAATACAACTTTAATATAGAAGGATGTCCTGTTACTTTATCCTCTACGGTAAAAGACCTGGGAGTTATACTAGACCACAACTTGTCTTTCGAAAATCATATTTCATATGTTACAAGAACAGCCTTTTTCCATCTTAGAAACATTGCTAAATTACGTAACATGCTATCTGTTTCCGATGCAGAAAAGTTAGTTCATGCATTCATGACCTCGAGACTAGATTACTGTAATGCTTTATTAGCTGGTTGTCCTGCATCCTCAATAAACAAGCTACAGTTAGTGCAAAATGCAGCCGCTAGAGTTCTTACTAGGTCAAGAAAATATGACCATATAACACCAATTTTTATCATCTCTACACTGGTTACCTATCAAGTTCCGTATCAATTACAAAGTACTATTACTGACCTATAAAGCCCTAAATGGTTTAGCTCCTGTGTATTTAATGGACCTTCTATCGCCCTACAATCCATCGCGTTCTTTAAGATCACTAAATTCGAGGCTTCTAGTCATTCCTAGGATATCTAAGTCCACTAAAGGAGGGAGGGCGTTCTCACATTTAGCTCCTAAACTCTGGAATAGCCTTCCTGATATTGTTCGAGGCTCTGACTCGCTGTCCCAGTTTAAAACTAGATTAAAGACGCATCTTTTTAGCCAAGCATTTACATAATGCTTACCTTTTATAATACTGCTGAATCAGATCAAATGCATTTAATACTATAAAACTTGAAGAGACTGTAGGTTATCTGTATAGGTTGCATAGTATTTGCAGTCATTACGTTCCTGTGGATATTGCGTGAATGACGGGTGGTTGGGCAGATATTGTGTTGCGGTAGGTAGTATGCCATTCGGAACCGTTGTCCACTGAAACTGCCTATTCACGCACCAGTGGGGCTCGACAGCCTTAGTCAACGGGTTGGCGCGTATGGTTGGGCTGCGGAGAGATTGTGAGATTGTGGTTAGGTCTCAGCAGCAGGAGGGACGTAGAGGTCAGTAAGCTGGGCTGAGTAGAGTGGGGGACGGAGGGGGGTGATTTTGGGACGCAAGAGTCACTGTCTTCATGTTTTGTCATTTACGCCTGTGTTATGGAAATCATCATTATGAACAGCAGCTACGCTAATTATTTTCCCTTTGCTTTTCTGCTGTTATCTCGGGACGCGAGTCCCGAGAAAATGGCGTTCATCAGCTCCAGTTTGTATCCAGCCTCTCACGGAGACTTCAGATGCTCCAATCACAAAGCCTATGAAGTGACGACTCAACACGGGCGATATGGACTCTCTATGGTGGACGGCACTGATCCTCAACAACTCGTCTTAAGACCGGCGTGCATACTTGGACTTCCAAAAAATACTCTAAATGTTCCGATCCAATCTGACTTGTAATGCTGCCCAAATCATGCACTGTTCCTTCGTTGGCCAGAGGAGAACTGGCCCCCCGACTGAGTCTGGTTTCTCCCAAGGTTTTTTTCTCCATTCTGTCACCTGATGGAGTTTTGGTTCCTTGCCACTGTTGCCTTGGCTTTTGGCTTGCTTAGTTGGGGACATTTAACATTTAATATTCAATAATATTATTGATCTGCCTTACTTAAGGTGGACGTTGACGCAATTTCTTTTAGAAACAAACTTTGTTATATTGTTTTCATGTTATCACTGTGAAGCGCTTTGATACAATCTGTATTGTAAAAAGCGCTATATAAATGAAGGTGACTTGACTTGACTTGACTAGTGTCGTCCTTGGCCTACTTCCCATTAATCACAGAATTATAATGACAAGCGAAACAAAAACATGTTTATTAAACATGATCATCCTAAGGCGCCCCCCCAGCCACATGTTTAATTACTTGTCAACCTGATTATTAGATTGAATTGATGATTATTGTCGATCATTTCCTAACGGGGGGTGGGGGGGGTTTATGTTACGTTACATTAGGCAAGTGATCAGCTGCTGGCGCGTTGATCGAAACCCTCTGGTGCACAGGGACGAAAACGGAGAAAGCAACTAGATAAAAAGACAGCCCAGTATAGAGATAAGTCTTCTCATCTCAGCTATTAAGGTGTCAAACGAAATAAATTTACTTAGTATTGTGCACAGGCATGCTGGCCATCGGGACTACCGGGAGATTCCCGGTGGGCCGACGTGCTTTTTGGGCCGATACATCTCATACTTTTATTATTAATATTATTTTTTGTCTTAGTGGCCCATAAAACTCGTACATCGGCCCATTCGTTTTGTTTTGTTTTGTTTAATTGGCGGCGCTGGGTTACTTACAAGTAACAAAACTAATTATGAAAGTTTCCTTTATTTTTCAGTGCATTTGTTTTACAATATAGCCTATGGCTATTACTGTCATGGAATTAATATTATAACTATAATTATGTAGTAGTGTAATGTAGACAGACACTGTAACTAAAAGAGGTTTGAATTTTTCTTTGTTCAATTTGCACACTGAATATGGGTTGGAGCTTTTAATTTTGAACTCTCAAAGTGCACCAGATTGATGAATTTAACATTAAAATGCACAAAATTTTCTTACGGGGGGCATACCCCCGAAACCCCCTTAGCCTTGTAGCAGCCTAATAGATGTAATAGTAATAATAGTAGTGGTGGTAGTAATTGTAATTTATATACTACAAGTTACATGGTCAGACAAAATTTATTTGTTCAATGCAACTATGTAGGATGACAGAAATATCATTGAACGTTCTTTGTATGATTGAACAATTTATTACAGTTGATCCTTCAAGTCATAATTTGCTTGTTGAAGTTTTGGAGTGACTATAAGAGCATTTTTGTTTAATAAATACTTATCATTTGTAAGTATTTTTAAGGGGGGGGGGGGGGGGCGCAAAACTCAATCTCGCCTAGGGCAGCCAAAGGGCTAGAGCCGGCCCTGCCTGTATGTACAGGATTACATTTAGGGAGTCACACCTGTTGTTGTTTTGCAACCAAACACTGACTGTGTGAACGTGGCCTATTATGTTTTAGTTCCATAAAGTTATGTCCTAGATACACTTCAAGTAAAATTGAAGAACGAACTGGTGTGACATCATTTCAAACAACATTAGGCCGAAACAAAGTTAATTTGGAGTTAGTTTTGGGAGTTCAAAACAGCTTGCCAAACTTTCCGGATCTGGATCTCGGATGTGGTGGGTGGGGATAGTGGGTAGGGAAGATGTGTACCAATCGGACACTGTTTTACATCAGGATCGCGCTTGGATTGGATCGATCGCTCAGGGGTGCGTTTCCCAAAAGCATCGTTGGCCGACTATGATCGTAATTTCCATTGATCTCTATTAGTAACGACAGAACTTGTGACCATAGTTGGCTTTGGGAAACATATCCCAGATTGACAGGTGTGCATTTACCATGCGCCACAGAATAAGAGCGCACAGCAGAAACAGCGCTGGAAGATCATCACTCGTCAACCAGGATCTTATTACTTATTGTTTATTCTATGTACTTTTATTGTGGCATTTACACAAGTAGTTCTTATGTTCAGTAAAATCACTTGTTTGGGTTTTTTTTTTGGACCCTTAGTTAATCATGTTTAGAAATAAACAGCTAGCCTACCTAATCTATTGCATGGCTTGAAGACATTAATACATTTAGAATACGTAACTACACCCGCTTAATATTTCCTCATGTGTCTGCTTGCACGTATTTTGCACCTCAAAACTACGCACTCTAACAATGAACTTGCTTAATCAACCATCGATAAGTTTTATTGATTAAATTATTATCGATAATTAAACGAAGGGTAGGAAATTTCAGAGAGTCTAGCAATAGCAAGCTAGCTTTAAAAGCATAAGATCCCACCCTCTCTTTAGAGCCTCTCCAAAGCCATGCACAGAAGATACTGCAAAGCGTCACGAGAGACAGCGTTAAATTACCTCCTGTGTCAAAGCACATAACATTACAATAATAATGAACGTAAACAGCTCACAGAGGTCTTACTTGAACCACCTGACTGCTGCAGATTAATTTCGGCGTTGATAGTGCTGACATAGAAACGTATAAATCCGAGTCTGAGGTCGTGAACAGCTCCAGGTAGAACGTCACTGGTTGCAATCTCATAATTACGGTTAAGACACGGCGCAGCATAAGCTCGTTGTTTTGGTTCAGGGGGAACTGTAAAAGGTGGCTGCTGGTTTTTTTGTGGTGCTTGGTGACTGTCTGTCTACAACTCTCAAACACACTGATGACGTCTGCACGAGCGGGTGCACCCAGGTATTGAAATGTTGTCAGGCATGTTTTGGTCCTGAGACTTCCACAGAAGATATAAGTACACGTTTTAATATTTAGACCATTTCTATTAGTGATTGCTATCAGGATGTGAAGAGAGTTTCAACCAGTATAACAAAAAGTTTCTTAAAAAAAATCATTTGCCTATACCCTACCTGGCTTTAATCGGTAGTTGGTTAATGGTTAGCAGCATCCCTAGTTAGGACTGTTGTTTTGTGTGTTACCTGAGCGCGTGACAGTTTTAGCACGAGGTAGCGTGGCTGCGGTGTGGGTGTCGTCTGTGCTGTCCAGCTGCAGCTCGTCTTCGTTCTGAATCAGAGTCAGATCCTGCATGCTGAAACTGCGCAGCTTCTCTGATAACACACCCTGACCCTGCAGTTCAATACACAAAAGACAAACATTACAATTGCATATTCTTATTCAAGATGCATATCAATATTACTGTACGTACTTGTTCTTTGCTAAACACAGTTTGAATAAAAGACAAATGTGAACTTGAAACTACACTACACAAAATATACACAGATTTTTCATTTTTGGGTAAAAGAAATGTGTCAGTCATCATTTACTGTCATGTTGTTCCTAACACGAAAGACTTTCATTCATCTTTGGAACACAAATGAAGATCTTTTTTAATGAAATCTGAGAGCTTTCTGTCCCTCCATTGAACCAGAAAATTTGAACTAAAGCACTCAATTCATATGGATTAATTTCACAATCTCTTTTTTAACTTTTTGAAGCGTCAAAGTGGTAGTTGCATAGCTGTCAATGGAGGGACAGAAAGCTCTCAGATTCAATTAAAAATAACTTAATTTGTGTTCTGAAGATAAACTAAAGTCTTATGGGTTTGGAAGGACATGAGGGTGAGTAAATGACAGATTTTTCATTTTTGTGTGAACTATCCCTTTAACTTTATATGCAACAAACATCTGCACCTACAGGTCACAACAATAAGAATTTTTATATGCTGGGTTTTACTTGCCTATATTTTTATTGGCTCCACCACAAAAAAAGTATATTATGTTTTAATTTCAGAAAGAAATATTATTATATGCTACTGATCAAAAGTTTGATCTTTTAAAGAAATGAATACTTTAATTTCACCTTTGAGGCGGCTGTGACGGCTGCAGTAGCTGCAATGTTGAGTCCTCTCTTCCCAAACCGCATCATGGTCTCATAACTGCGGTCTTTAGCCTGGGTTATGTACTCATCAATTTCCTGTAACACACACATACGTCATGCAACACAAATCCATTACTCTGCCTTAACTCCCTGATTGGTGGAGTGCTCAGGAAACCTCTTTGAAAACAACCACCTTTAACAATAGTTTGATTATATTCATGAAGCAAGTTCATTTGTACCTTTTCTTTATTGGAGAGCGTGGGGTGCACGAACTTGCGGTACAGCACGCTGGAGCCCTTGGTGTACGGGGACAACAGCCAGACCACAAAGGCAATCTTAAGCTCAAAATAAAATGGAAACCTGGCAAAATGGGAGGTCAACATGTTAACGATTAATGCAACAAAAGTAAAGATAAATGAATAATCATTAATAATAATGATAGGGATAAAGATGACCATATTATCATATAACAATAAATAATTTTTTGTAGCTTATACATTTTTTTTATGTATATAGCATGATAAATACATTAAAAAAAAATCAGTTGACTGACCAAGAGAGAAGCATATCTGTGATCGTCTCTGCCGTCGTAAATATCGCAAACACTATCCAGTACATCATCCATTTCACCTGAGGAAAGAAAAACACACGTGTACACATGACATCAGCACACATCAGGTCACATGCTCTTGCTGAATACAGCCTTGTGCAGCATGACTGCTTGCTTATGTCACCATTGCCAATGGATTTGTCTCTATCTGTACTGCCAATAAGATTAACAGCCAATTAAGCAATTATCAAATGACACATCCCTATGTTTGCTTTTTAATAAAAAGCTTGTGCTTTTCCACAAGAAAACAGAAGAATAAAAGGTTACGAAATGTCCAAACCTTTTACTAAACATGTCTAAATGAATGGAAAGTGGTCCTATTTGTAATACAGATGAGACTAAAAATGGTGTCTGTGGGAGCAAACTGCTGCCCTAGTGGTTTCCATAGCAACTAGTAACCTGCGACTCCAAGATAAATCGTTTCCAAAAATAGTATGATGCATGTATATATTTCAACAATAGCATAGGCTATAGTATGGCATAGCAGAAAGAAAAATAAATATTCCATTTACACAAATTGTATGGTTTAGTCAGTGAATTCCTCAGGCTCAACCTTTCAACCTCGGTACCAAATATATAGTATAAATAACTAACAACAACCAACATTTGTTGCCAAACTAGCTATCAAAATATTTATATATAGATAAAATATAGCCATAGTAAAGTAAAATATAGATAGCATAGTATATATATATATATATATATATATATATATATATGAGATATAGCTGGCCTATACGTAGCATAGTAAATAAAAGAGTAAAATATGGTAGGCCTAGCCTACATATAGCATAGTAAAATATAGTAGACCCATATATAGCATAGTATATAAAATAGATATAGGCTAGTACTATATCATGTATATAGTAGGCCTATATATACTCAGCATTTTCTGCAAAAGCGACCAACCTAAAGTAAAAGCTTGTCCAATTAATAGCAATTAGGGCTGTCAGTTAAACGCGTTATTAACGGCGTTAATTTTTTTATCGCGCGATTAACGGTCTTTTTGGCCTAGCAAACTTTGTAGTTTTTCACATGCTTTTGCAACAGGACGCGGCATGCGCGCGAGGATGTTTTAAAAAAGCGCAAGCGGATCTAGCTAGACCGGAAACAAAACAACAGGCACGCCGCACACACTTGTTTGGGCTTGCGAGCCGGTCAAATAGTTGGTTAACGTTACGTTTTGAGTGGATGACGAGCGCAAGACGCCGAAATGGATGCCAATCAAAAGATTCTGAATGGAAAGTTTACTTTTAAAAAGTTGCCAAATGGTTCCATTGACAAGACCAAAGTGATCTGTGTGTTTTGTCGTTGTGAACTGAGCTATCATCATCGCAGCACGTCCAGTCTGAAATACCACTTGATGGCCAAGCACACACACACACAGCTGATGCGAATTCTCCGCCCCCTCGTCAGTATCAGGACCTCGTCAGTATTTCTTTCACCCTTTTATTGATGGACAGTGTTACATTGTGTGAGAGATTATTTGCTCCAAGTGAAAATGTTTTAGTGTGAAATTGAACACAGTATATACCAATGTTGTTTTCAATAAAAAAACATTTGCACAAAGCAAGCCGATCCACTTTTCCATGTTGATAAGAGCATTAAAATGAGAAAAAAAATAATGGGACAAAAAGAAATCAAGAGACATTTAGAATAGATAAAATGTGCGATTAATCGCAAGTTAACTATGACATTAATGTGATTAATCGCGATTAAATATTTTAATCGTTTGACAGCACTAATAGCAATTAGGGCTGTCAGTTAAACGCGTTATTAACGGCGTTAACGCAAACCCATTTTAACGCGATTAATTTTTTTATCGCGCGATTAACAGTCTTTTTGGCCTAGCAAACTTTGTAGTTTTTTTCACATGCTTTTGCAACCGGACGTGGCATGCGCAGCCCTGCGCTATGAAACCCATTCATTTCAATGGCTTGTGCCGCACGAGGACGTTTTGTTGCTTCGTCAACCAAAGCGCAAGAGCAGTGGCGCGCACACCGCGGTCAAAATTCAAAATAGTTCAACTTTTGCCGTTGTGACGATTACCAGCGCGGCCAATAAACGTTTTGGCATCCAAAAAGTTTTGAAAACTGGCGTAGCGCCGCACATTCCGCGTCCTGTCTGAAAGCACCGGATCTAGCTAGACCTGAAACACACTTGTTGCGAGCCGGCCAAATAGTAGGTTAACGTTACGTTTTGAGTGGATGACGAGCGCAAGACGCCGAAATGGATGCCAATAAGATTCTGAATTGAAAGTTTACTTTTAAAAAGTTGCCAAATGGTTCCATCCCGACTGACAAGACCAAAGTGATCTATGTGTTTTGTCGTTGTGAACTGAGCTATCGTCATCGCAACACGTCCAGTCTGAAATACCACTTGATGGCCAAGCACACACACACACAGCTGATGCGAATTCTCCGCCCCCTCGTCAATATCAGGACCTCGTCAGTATTTCTTTCACCCTTTTATTGATGGACAGTGTGACATTGTGTGAGAGATTATTTGCTCCAAGTGAGAATGTTAGTGTGAAATTGAACACAGTATTGTCAATGTTGTTTTCAATAAAAAACATTTGCACAAAGCAAGCCGATCCACTTTTCCATGTTGATAAGAGCATTAAAATTAGAAAAAAATAATGGGACAAAAAGAAATCAAGAGACATTTAGAATAGATAAAAATGTGCGATTAATTGTGATTAATCGCGAGTTAACTATGGCATTAACGCGATTAATCGTGATTAAATATTTTTATCGTTTGACAGCACTAATAGCAATATAATTGAACATAACTACAACATTACAAAAGAGTAAAAAATAAGAACAAATATCCTAATTGAAGCCATACTGAAATACTCACATACTCCTTGACGTTTTTCGTCTTCACAGCCTTATAAGAGGAATAGGCTGGGTAGAGAGTCCCGAAGGCCAGGCTGTAGAGAGAAAAGACCCTTATTGAACACACTCCCAGCAGAAACAGGCAAGCTCATCTTACCAACTCACTTCAGCAGCTAAAATTTCACTTGCACCATTACCTCAAGTTACAGGACACAATTACAACACTTAAGAGGCTGCCTATTTTAAGTGTTAGAGGATGGCTATCTCCAGTGCATTCAAAAAAATCTAGCAGAACAGAAATAAACAAGTTTATGAATCACACAACCAATACTGGTGGTGACTGATACAATTATTAAGAGGCTCTGCACTTCAGTGAAAAGCAAGCTCATAAATCGTATCCCAGTCAATACTAACCCTACTGTACACACACCAGCATGTTTCATGACGCTATTGGAAGCAAACACTCTGAATCTGAGAGCCATTAAAAGTAAATCATTTATGAGCGCATGAAGACGGATCTACACACAAAAGGACCAGATTCCACACAGATGCCCTGCATGTACAGCATGAACTCAGACACGTGCCCTCGCACACCCGCGCTCCTACACACACAAACATGCCATTTTGTGCTGAGGCGACAAAATCTGAACGTTCTGCACAAGTAGATCCAGAAGAGGATGACAGGATACAGGACAGACCAAACCTACCCACTGCAGCTGGCATGAGTGCATCTGGATCACTGTGTCCTGTGGCTTAAAGTCACCATGAAATCAAAATTGGCTATTCTTATTTTATAATGGAATATTGCAGTTTATTATCAATGATTTATCTGTGCGCAATTTTTTTTTTTTTTTTAAATCACATGCCCTTGAAATCTTTCATTAAAATAAATTCCGCTCCCTCTTGCAGCGACATCTCTTCTCTGATGGCGCGTTTACTGGCGTGAGGGCGGGGCAACCTGTCACTCACACGGGATCGACCAATAGCAAACCACAACCATCCAATCAATTCCCCATGGACAAAATCAAGTCCCATGCACCCTACATTTTATCTTGTTCGAGAAGCCATTTCACACAGATATACATCACAATAGAGAAGAAACATATCGTAACTTCTGCTATATGCGGACTTCAAAAACATGCTTTAAAGGGATAGTTCACCCAAAAATTAAAACTTTGTTATATACTCAACCTCATGTTGTTCCAAACCTGTATGAGTTTCTATCTGCTGTTGAACACAAAAGAAGATATTTTGAAGAATGTTGGTAACCAGAGAGTTGACGGCACCATGGAAGTCAAGTGCTACCGTCAACTGGGGTTACAGAAGAAACAAACTCATACCCTCAAGTTGTTCCAAACCTGTAAGTAATGATAAAATGTTCATTTTTAGGTGAACTAGGCCTATCCCTTTAACTTATGGTTATGTATGTGATGTATTATATTCTGTAAATGTGTATAGACCGTGCACCATGTGTAATGCATAATGAAGCATGAGGACGAGGCAGTCTGGCGCATGGCAGACCACATGCCCTCTGTCCCATTACAACTAGCCTGACTCCCATAATGCATCTGCTCACCACAGTTAAAGCCACCGCAAAGAGCATTCCATGAGATTCAGCAAAACCACGATAATGATGCCTGATTTTTGTTTCTAATGGCCTCGATCCTGACCAACAAACAATGAATTTAGCCTCTGCCATTTGCCTAAGCAGTCTTTGGGACAATTTGTTCGGCACAGGCATGTATGGCATAAGTGTTTGATGTAATCGATTAATCATGGAGTTAGTATTCGGAGTATGATCCAATGAGAATCAAAATCACGACTGTACATCTCACTAAGGAACCCACTAGACCCAAACATTTCACAAATGAGTCATATGGAACAGATTATGTAACGTTACCAGCCGGGACAAATCAGCTGGGCAGGTAGGCCTTCTTAGTGAAAAACCCATCTCAGAAGTCTTTGATCACAGTTTGTGATTTTAAAAATATGCAATTGAAAGTATGATGACATCAGCATACAAAGGAGATGATGTGACGGGTGTAATCCAATACATCTGGGACGCCTAAAACCTGCCCATATGTTTTGTTTTTTAACATTTCTATATTTCACATTCTCTATAGAAGTGTTTGGTACATTAAGACCCAATTTCATACCTAGGGCATTTTGATCCAGGTGAAAATCACACAACAAGCAACACAAATGGTGAACCATCCTCGTTTGGATGAAGTCATCGCTTTGGTTTATTAATTTAACCCTATATGCAATTTATATGAGTAGCTGAATATCTTTAGATCCCTATAATTGTTACTATTAAAGCCTTTCCCTGCAAAAATAAGCAGAATTATTTATATTTCCATTGAAAAGCCTCATGTATCCGCAGCAACACAACACAAACACACGCGCGCGCCGCATATACACTCACACCACCATTCGCGAAATGATCCACGACACCATCTTGATCTCTGCGAGGACTTTTCCTTATTTTAGTCGATTATTCAACATCTCCATTCCGACCACACGACACGAGTGATGTTTAATATCAGGAGGGATCTCAACGGATGTTGTGTGTCTGTCTCAGTACAGCCGTTATGATGACGGGGAGCCTCTGCATATGCGCTCAGTCTGTCAGCCCGTGTCTCTTAAAGGGACAGTGACATCTTTACACCTGCTCCGTTTATTAAAAAACAAATATTCATATTCATTCATTGCTGCCCTGACAAATATTTGACATGATGGTATCCATAGTTTCCGTCAGAAAGGTACTAGTACGTGGTTATTGCTATTACTGTAAAACCAACCATATTGATCTAACATTGCCGCTGCAGTCACAGGGGTTCAAACAGAAGAAGAAGAAGAACATACTGTAGCCTACATTTTACTGTCATGATAGGTGAGGTCGATGGTGTATGTAAACTGATTTTAACCATGTAGGATGTCATAGATTAATTGTCATAATTTGCAGCTAAAAAGTCGTTGTGTTGTGTTTAAACTACTGTTCAATGTTTTTAGAAGTGAAACTACCACACTTTTTAATAAATAGCCTATATCATCAGCTCAAAATGGGACATTTTTATTTGTTAAATTGTGCATAACTACTTTCTGGTGTCTTAAACAAAAACAAGTAGGCTAGATGTTGGTTGGTTCAGATAGCTTGCAAGACCTTCAGTGCTGCTTGGACCCCTGTATTAATAATATATATTTTTAAATAACCATTTTCAAATAACCACTTAAAACGAATCGGTTACCTAACGTAACCTCGGTTCTCTCTAGATGAGGGAACGAGTATTGCGTAAGCTAGCTTACGCTACGGGAAAGATTAATCTTTTCTGAGAATTTGAAGCCAAAAAATTATCCTATAATTTTGTATCCATTGTCAACGCAGTTCAGCTGCAGCAGACCATGAGCGGGCTAGCTATAGCAGCTCATTGGTTCACTCATAGAGAACTGCATAAGCCTATGAGGAGACGCAAATGAACTCTCGACCAATGAGAGTCTGACCCGCTCTCATTGCTTCAGAACCCGCCGAAACGGGCGTGGTCAGAGAGTATAAACAGCGTCCCAGGCTGTAAACTCTGATTTTCATCTCTTCAGCGAGGCTACACGCATCTGCTGACCCTGAGAGAAGCCGCCGTCGTCGAAAAGGCAACTCTAGCGAGCATCTGGGAGACCGTCTTCGCCACCTTCAGCCGTCCTGCGAGCTAGCGCCATCCGACGGATTTGTATCCTTTTTACAAAAAATCTTCCTGTACTTATTTGTATCTAAAAGAGCCGAGCGTCTTTTTAAAGATGTCTCGTAAATCCTCCTGCGGTTCTTGCCGCGCTCCCCTCGAGACTGGAGACAGCCACTTCATCTGCGCTCTCTGCCTCGGATTGGAGCACGCCGAGCTCGCCCTCGCCGATGGCGGCTGCGATCTCTGCGAGGACATGCCGTTGTCGACCCTGCGGGCTCGACTTCAGGCCACTAAAGTTGCTTCCGCGCCGCCTCTGACTTCGCCGCGGAAGAAGAAACGCCGCTCTCAGAGGCCGCCGGAACCCCAGCTAGAAGCGTTCATCCCGCCGGAGCCTGTCGCCTCCGATGACGCCGCGGACATCAAGGAAACATGTTCGCTTCTCGCTCACAAGCCGTCGAACGCCTCGGGCTCGATTGGTCTCCTCCCCCTGAGCAGACCATCAACCGTATGGACGGCAGCTACTTCCGCGGAACTCACGAAGTCCTGGAACCCCCCGCTCTCTGCTAGAACTCGCTCTGACTCTTCCACCCCGCTTCGCGTTGTGGTCGGAGCCGCAGAGAAGGGTTATCTCTCCATTCCTCCTGTAGAGGACCTGGTCGCCGCACCTCTGTGCCCGCCCTCCGCCCTGGCGCTCATCACCTGTGCTCCCCTCAAGCCTGCAGAGCGACTTCAAGCTTTCACGTCCGCGCTTACTCAGCCGCCGGCCAAGCAGCCTCTGCACTTCACTCCATGTCCGTCCTTCAGATACTACAGGGTGACATACTTCGTGAATGGGACGAGAGCAGAAAAAAATCCCCCTTCAGTCGCGGATTTGAGGAGCGCCACGGACATTGCCCTTCGCGCTACAAAATCTGCTGCTCAAGCCCTGGGGAAATGCATGGCCGCCATTTGTGTGTCTGAGAGACATTTGTGGCTCACACTCGCCGACATGGGAGATTCTGAGCGCACCGCCTTTCTCAATGCCCCGCTCTCTCCATCCGGCCTCTTCGGATCTGCTGTCACGGGTATCGTCGACCGATTTTCCGAAGTGCAGAAAGCCTCCCAGGCCATGAATCTCTTTCTGCCTCGTCGCGCTAGCTCCTCTGCAGGCCGCTCACGTGACCCGCCTCCTGCACGAGCCCCACCCCAGCGCCCAGCTCAGCACAGTCAGACTTTTCAGCGACGCCAGGGCGGCCGCCCTCGTTCTCGCTCTGACAGCCGCCACAGACCGCCGCCACAGACCGCCGCCTCCTCGGGGGCCTCGGCCTAGGATCGCGCTGAAACCCGATCACTCGAAGTCTGCCTAGCACAGCTGAGAAAAAGACGGCGCTCTCCTGCCGCGGCCGGACCGCCGTCAAAGTTTCGCCCTCTGTTAGTCCCCGCTCACGTGGCTACTACAGCAGTGTACTCCGCCATTACCAAGCCGGTCCCCCTTCCCGCTTGCATGAGCACAAACGCCGTTTTCACGGCGACCCAGAGAAATCTCATAATGAGCATAAAAGCCTCCTGTGTAAAAAATACACTCATACACAAAAGCACTTCAGTTCCCGTGTTTCACACAGAGTCCACTCTCATAAAGCGGTTCCAACCCGCTCGAGTTTCAGAGTGCATAAGCGCGCCCACGAGCCCGTGAGCGCGTCCCACCTCTGCTTACTCTGTTACACGGCCCATAAACTCCTTTCCGAGTGTAAGTCCCTGCTGTTATAAACACTATGAGCGCGCTCACGCAGCCCGCTATGTGTGGCGACGGGGACCATGTAGCCATTCACCCTCTAGCGTTACGCTTCAAAGCGTGGGAAGCTATTCCGGGAAATTCCCAGTGGGTGCTAAACACGATAAAGCTAGGCTATCGTTTACAGTTTCACCGCCGCCCTCCACGTTTTCGAGCGCGGCTAGAAACTATTGTGAAACCAGAAGCAGTGACGCTGCTCCGTTCAGAGATAGCAAAGCTATTGTGCAAAAGGGCTATAGAGAGAGTTCCTCTGTTTATGATCGAGTCGGGCTTTTACGGACGTTATTTTCTGGTTCCCAGGAAAGACGGCGGCCTCAGACCAATCTTAGACCTCAGATTTCTGAACAAAGTTCTCATGAAGAGACCGTTTAAAATGCTCACTATCAGAAAACTCCTCGCGCATGTGCGCCAGGGGGACTGGTTCATTTCACTAGATCTGAAAGATGCTTACTTTCAGATTCAGATAAATCCCCTTCACAGGGCATTCTTACGTTTCGCCTTCGAAGGCCAGGTTTATCAATTCACCGTCCTTCCGTTCAGCCTATCCCTAGCACCCCGTACGTTCACGAAGTGCATGGATGCGGCGCTCGCCCCCCTGCGGAGTCAGGGGCTGCGAATACTGAACTATTTGGACGACTGGCTGATTTTGGCACAATCACAGAGAGAGCTACTGTCTCATCGTACAGTTCTCCTCGACCATCTGAAAGCTTTGGGCCTCTCTGTCAACTGGACAAAGAGCGCACTACAACCCAGTCAGACTATGTCCTTCTTGGGTATAGAGCTAGACTCGGTCACGATGACGGCTCGTCTGTCAACACAGCGCGCACGCCGTGTTAAGCGTCTCGCCGCATCTTTTCAGATGAACAGACTCACACCTCTGAAAACTTTTCAGAAGGCGTTGGGGTACATGGCCTCAGCCTCCGCGGTGCTCCAGCTGGGGTTACTGCGAATGCGCCCGCTTCAGCACTGGTTGAAGAGCCGTGTCTCACCGTGCGTGGACCACGGGCCGCCAGCTGATAAAAAGTGACGCAGACCTGTATCAAAGCTCTGCAGCCATGGACGGTGGCAGAATGGTTTCAGCGGGGCGTTTCCAGGGGGACCCTTTCTCGCCGAAAAGTCATCTCGACAGACGCATCCTGCACGGGTTGGGGTGCGGTCTGCGAGGGCTCACCGGCCTTCGGCCCCTGGTCAGCTCAGGAGAGCCTCCTCCACACATGAACTGTTTGGAGATGCTGGCGGTCGAGAACGCGTTCACGCACTTTCTTCCGCGCATTCACGGTCACCACGTGCTGATCCGTTCGGACAATATAGCCGTGGTCTCCTATCTAAACCGTCAGGGCGGAGTCAGATCCAGGAATCTCTTCCGGCTGACAGAACGCATCTTAGTTTGGTCTCAGTGTCACCTGCTCTCGTCACGTGCCGGGCCATCTGAACGACGGTCCAGACAGTCTGTCCAGGAACCCCATTCCCCCCGGGGAATAGTCCCTGCACACTCTTACAGTCTAAAAGCTGTGGCGAATATTCGGCAGAGCAGAGGTGGACCTCTTCGCCTCAGAAGAAAACACCCACTGCCCGATATTTTTCTCAAAGAGCGAGGACGCGCTAGCCCAGACCTGGCCCAGCCGCCCGCTTTATGCATTCCCTCCGGTTTCTCTGCTACCAAAGGTGCTTCAGAGAATCAGGGAAACACGCCACTCGGTGCTCCGCATAGCCCCGCGTTGGGAGGGTCAGACTTGGTTTCCGGAGCTCACTCAGCTGTCACAGACAGCCCCGTTGCCCATTCCAGTCAGAGCAGATCTCCTCTCTCAAGCTCGCGGCACGATCTGGCATCCCCACCCAGAGCGCTGGGCACTACATGCGTGGGTCATCAACAACTACCCGTTGCTATGCCAGAGGGAGTGTTAAACACGATCATGCAGGCTAGAGCGGCTTCTACTAGAAGGCTCTATGCGTCTAAATGGGATATGTTCTCTAAATGGTGCACCGACAGAAACTTGGACCCACGGTCATGCGAGGTTCCTTCCTTGCTATTTTTTCTCCAAGAGATGTTGGACGAGGGCAGGTCCCCGTCCACTCTCAAGGTGTATGTGGCAGCCGTCGCAGCGTTCGTTGAACCCCGGCGCGGCCAGTCACTGGGCAAAGATGACTTG